GAGAGAGACACAGCATGAGTGGGGGAGGGGCAGAGAGAGAGGGAGACAGAATCAGAAGCAGGCTCCAGGCTCTGAGGTGTCCGCACAGAGCCCGACGCGGGGCTCGAACTCACAAACCGTGAGATCGTGACCTGAGCCGAAGTCGGCCACTCAACGGACTGAGCCACCCAGGCACCCCTGCTGGTAGCCTCTTTTATCTGGAATAACCTTTCTCACTTATGCCATTGGTAGTTTTGAAGCCTCCACGTGAGCTGTTTTGTAGACAGTCCCTCAATTTGGCTTTGTTTGGTTGTTTCCTCACTGGGTTTCATTTTTGAAAAGCATTGTTCATCAACGTTCCCAGCTATGGGTTCACTGAGGAGCTAGACACTCGGCAAAGGAGAGGTCTTCTCGATCATAAGCACAACTGACAGATGGCCACCTCTCAGCACCTTGCTTCCAGGCTGAACATCAATGATATTTACAACAGACTGTGCCCCTACAGAGAGCTGGGCACTTTGGGGAGCAAAAGCAGGCCAGCGCAATTCCCAGCCTAGGATTGTTAATTGCAAGGAATAAGGAGTCACGGGGTTGAGGTTTCCAGTCTGGGTTTCTCTGAGGGCTGGGTGAACAACGTCCTTTCTCCCGTCCTCAGTTTCTCCAAACTACAAAATGAGGACAAAAGTACCTAGCAGTTAACTCACAGGGTTAATGCAGTGATGGATGTTCCACACTCAGCACGGTGCTTAGCTCTTAGTAAATGTTCATTTAATGTGAGCTTCTACCCACATGAAAAACTAGATCATTAAGTCAAATCTCACATGTATTGTTTTAAACCTAACGGGGGGGGGGGGGGGGGGGGGGGGGGGGCTAGAGGTTTTCTGTTAAAGCCAAATCCTGTTGTGATTTTCCTATCCTACAGCCCAGCTGCTCGGCTGTGGCAAAGACCCCTGGCCCTTCATGGGGTTATGAGGCTGAAGTCCATCTTACCATTACATCCTGAATAGTTAAGAGGATCCTTTCTTTGTCTGCACTGCTGGCAGGGTCTGGTAATCCATGTGCATTCAGAAGGGAGAAATTAACATCACAGGGCTTGGTGCCAGTAGGAGACTTGGTACCCTAGGGGCAAGCAGAGAGAATGGGCGTGGTAAAAGCAATTTTCGTCCCTGAAGATGCGCCGGGTCCCTCGTTCTCTCTGTTGGTCTCCCTGCCTCCCGTCTGCCTCCTCACCGTCCAAGATTCTCGGCTCTCTCTCCCAAAGCTGAGCTGGTCAAACTCATCCCTGCCTTACCCACACCGCTGTAGGCACACAGTTAGTAAAGAGACCAGGATTCAAACTCAGGGCACCAACAACCTAGACACTGGGCTCAGGGAGTACCGAGATACGGCCTCCACATCTTGCTGAACAAAGAAAGTGGGGTATCAAATAGTGTGGATGGTATATGATCCCATGTATGTGGAAACAGCTATAAAAAGTAAAGGAAAACATGGTTCTCACTTGAAAGTTATTTAAATGGTAATCCAAAACAGAAGTACCCAAGCCACGGGATGGGCTTAAAAACAAGCTTTCATTTTTTAAGCCTCGCCGTTGAAATTAATGAATGGCAAACTGGAGGGATTTGCTACAGGGCCCTCCCTGCTGGGAACCGGATGGGATTCCCACGGGGGATGCCTGGCCAGTGATGGCACCCTCTAATCTCCACGATTCCCATAGGTGAGCCGTCACGGGCCTCGGCAGAGTCCACACGTGGTGGACCTACTGGGGGCACACAGGCTGTGAACAGGTCTTCAGTTGTTTGTATGTGTCAGCAAATAACAATGACTTTAAAACATCGAATTGTAATCGCGGGCAAATATCCAGTTCATCCCACAGCAGGGTCCACACAATGGAGGCATTCCAGAAGATGGGGCGGCCAAGTCTTCCCATCACCCATCGTGCTCGCAGGAAAAATCAAAAAACTAAACTCAGGAATTACCACCACTCACTGGGGATGGGCCAGGACTGGAACATTCCAGATAAACCATATCCTCTTGGATGTAATCAATACGTTACGTATGTAATGAGTGTAAGAAACTTTTATTCTGGATGGATACACCCATCTATGACCTCTGGGGCAGTGGGATTATGAAAAGACTTTTATTTTCTTTGTATCGGTTGAATTTTATTTTTTTAACTTTTATTTTTTATTTTAGACAGGGCGGGGGCAAGAGGGGTAGAGGGAGAGGAAGAGAGAATCCCAAGCAGGCTCCAGGCTCAGTGCGGAGCCCAAAGCAGGGCTCGATCCCACAACACTGGGATCGCGACCTGAGCCGAAATCAAAGAGTCAGCCGCTCAACCCGACTCAGCCACCCAGACGCCCCGATACATTGTTTATTGTCTGTTTTATCTTCGGTGTGTGGAATGGTACCTGGGATCTGTCGCGGGGACCAGGCACCTGCAGTGCACGCACCTGTCCAAGGGGACAGCCGCTCCTCAGCTCCGACCGCTGCTGTCACGTAAGGATGTGGCTCCCAAACGTTCGGATTTTTCAAGAGAAGCCCCAAATTCCCATTTTGACATGGACTCTCCTGATTCTTAAATGTCAGCTAGTAATTCTTTCGAAAACACCGTGCAAGTCAATGGGCTGAGGCCAACGGAGCATGTCTGCGGCATGCGGGTCTGCGAACTTGGAGCCCGCAAGAAATTGAAGATCACCAAGGGTATGATTGAAGGCAAACAGGCTGGTATGTTTCAACAGTGAAGGTCAGACGAAAAGTACACATGCGGACGCGGATTTCCTTTTGCTCCGCCTCGGAGCTGCGCTTGCAAACAGTGTGAGGTGGCTGAATATATTTAGCCACACGCTTTTCTTCTTTTTTTTTTTTTTC